TATATATATATATATATATATATATATATATATATATATATATATATATATATATATATATATATATATATATATATATATATATATATGTATACATATATATATATATATATATATATATATATATGTATACATATATATATATGTATACATACATATATATATATATATATATGTATACATACATATATATATATATATATATATATATATATGTATACATATATATATATATATATATATATATATATATATATATATATATATATATATATATATATATATATATATATATATATATATATATATATATATATATATATATATATATATATATATGTACATATATATATATATATATATATATATATATATATATATATATATATATATATATATATATATATATGCATATATATATATATATATATATATATATATATATATATATATATATATATATATGCATATATATATATATGTATATATATATATATGTATATATATATGTATATATATATATATATGGTGTAGACTTTTTCCTTCCCTAGTTCTTTGTACTGCGTGAATAATCATCTTTCGTTAATGAACCATGATTTAATTCACCATATATTCTTTCATAATATTCTATATAAGAAAAGGGAAGGGTAGTGTGGACTTTCTCCTTCTCCGACTATTTGAACAATGATGTAAGGCTCTCTATTTATATAGTTGTCTTCCACATAAAAGTTACCTACACATTAAACCTAATTATTCGCCTCGTGCGATCCAAAAATATTTTCAGAAATTAGTATGTTTTATTCATATCGATGTGAAACAAACAAAGATTTTCGCCTCCAAAAGCGAGCAACAAGTAAAGGTTTAGTCACTCGGTATGTCTAAAGGGTCACTCCATAAAACAAACCAACAAGTCATAGTACCCCAAGCTACGAAACTTTGAGTTTCTTATTGCATCTGAGGATACGTAGGAGCGAGACCCGCAATCTAGTCGAGCACCCTAGTAAAAACATTTTTGTGACCCCTTTTCTTTTACCCTTTACTATTCAAAGAAAATAAATAGCATAAGTTAACATTCAATCACAAATTAGACTAAGAGGTTCCCGTTGAGTACAACGGGTATGAGGGGTGCTAATATTTTCCTTTGCGTAATCGTCTCCCGAACCCAAATATGGTTGTGACGACCATTTTCTTTTTTTAAAGGTTTTATCGATAGTTTCCTTTTCCTTCATTGAAATAAATAAAGTTTGATGGTGACTCTGTTCGAACTATTTTACCGTGAGCGTGCGATATACGCTTTGCGAGGGATCGTATTTTTCGAGGTACAACAAAGTTAAAAACACTTGAAAAGCTTTGCAGTTTTCACCATCAATTTTTTAGAAGTTATAGAACAAAAGTCAAAATTCACCCATGCATGTAAGAAGCCTTACCTGGAGATTAAATGTAAAGACAAAAGGTGTAGCTATGCAAATCAAATCTCATAGGACCTTCAAGGGAAAGAAAAAAAAGACTATGAAGTTCTTTAAAAGAAAACCTTTCATAGGAAAAGGGAAATATCATAAATGTTTTAGACTTAATTGCAACTATGGTCTCCCTATTTTGTATTTTTTTTGGGTTTTGGTCCCCCCATTTTAAAAACCACGATTTTGCTCCCTTTTTTAAGTTTTGAATTTGATTTTAGTCTCCTCTCCAATTTTAAATTTTTTTTAATGATGTGGCACTATCTAAGATGACGTGTTAATGCTGGGTCATTTAAAAATAATTAATTTAAGAAATTTTTTATTGACTAAGATAATTAACTTATTAATATTATTTTAATTAATTAATTAATGATTAACATTTTATTATTAATTTTTATAATTATTTAATTAATCAAAATTTTAAATGAAACTCTTTGGGTCTTTAGTTATTGATTCATGTCTTTGGTCCATCTTTCTAACCCACAATTAAATTGTTGTATTTGTTTCAGCTTTATAAACACTTTTATGTCTTATACAAAAATCAACGTGAGACTTCTAAAAGACATTTTATACTACAACATTACCTCCTTCTTCATTGCAGCAACTTCTCCTTCTTCTCAAACTTGTGACCATTATAACAACTTATGCTTCTTCTCCATACTGCAAATCTATTGTTCTTCTTCATTTGACAAGGAATAACTTTGTTGTTTAAAAACATTCTTAAATTCTATCATGAAAATATCAAACCCTCCTGTAAGGAATAACTTTGTAACATAGTCTCATATCAAACTGATTTCCTGTCTGAACTTCATCATGATGTCCCTATCACATATTGTCATATTTAAAAAATAAGATGCCTCCCGATCCTCAAACTCTTAGGCTCAAAGATTGGTTTTCTGTATATGATTTCTTTGCAAAACATATCAAAGGAACTGAAAATATAATCTTTGATCTACTATCCCGACCTATGAAACCTATCTAAATCATCACATCCAACCACACTTTCCCTCTGATTCTTATGGTCAAACCACTACCAACTCATGCATCCACAACAAAGAATCTTCCTTCAGGAATAACAATATCCTTTTCATCGTCTTAGCTCAAGCAGTATGCCAAGAATAATCTCTTTTATTACATGACAAAAATCATAAGGAATAAACTCTAGGACCATAGCCCTTGTTTCCCAGACACACCTTTCCTCCTACCAATTTTAATAAACTCGAATGTTAAATTCACAAAAACAAAAAAAAACATTTGTGGTATATCTAGTGTACCACCAGTTTGTATTTTACGTTTGTTTTTATTCCCATCAAAACCATGTATCAACATATAATGAATCCCGAGAACTACAAGTCCTTGATTTGGACTACTTTTGAATGATACTTTCCATTACAGTGGTGGAGAAATCAATTAAAAACAGTCATAGACGAGGTTAAAGAGTGAAGATTAGCCTTAAAAGTAATTAGCAAACTCAAGATTGTTTTCTTTCTACACATGCTCTATCAGACAAATCCTGCAATTAAGCTACTTGATTCTAAGAGTTATCTTCACCTACACGAAACATTGATGATTATCCTCCCAATCTAAAAATCACAAGAGAATTAATAAAGTATGTTAACTGCATCAATCTCTATGATCCAAAGAACCTCAATAATAATACAACATGCATAAGTCATAAAAGTTCAGAAGACCAGAAGTTGGAGAAAGTTCAACTCAAGCTACACAGCAGAAACCATATTCTCCAATAGAATATGAATTCTCATAAAGACAAGTTTAAATAGTTAATAGAAGATTGATGGATCACACTTACATGATTAATGACATCTGGCAGCATGAGTCATCTCGTTATGGAGATTGCTTTTCTGATGGAAACTTATCTGATTAGAATATGTCTCATCTCATGAAACCATCTTTAAAGACTAATTAGACAAGTGTCTCTTATATGTCACGAGGATGTTTATGAATAGTGATTTTTTGTCTTTTTGTGCAATAATGTATCCATAAGTGATAAGTGTGTCAGACTTTAAAAAAAAAAAGCATTCCAATAGTATTAAAAATTTCATGCTTATAAATAGTGTTATTTTTGTCCTATATGTACCTCTTTAGCTATAAAAAAGGAGAGCTCTTGTAACATATTTTGCACAAGCAATCACAAATAAACCTTGTATGCTTAAGAACAAACATGTTCAAAAAATCTTTTGCTTTAGTTATTATATTTATATCATAATTCTCCCGTAGATGCAAGTATGTTTTACATCTGCCTCAAGATGAGGATCTTGTGTATCGGAAAACATCTGAACATTGATCCATACTACGGTCCTCGCTATTATGAAATTTTAGTTTTGTTAGGATGTGATATGTCTATGGTTGACTATTTGATGTCGATACTTTTAAGGTTGGTTTTATTATATGTGAGCCTCCCGGACAATAAAGGATATTTTTTATGGAAAATTATATGATTTTTTTTTTATAAATATTTATCTTGTATATAATTTTTTTATAATAAACTAGCGTCTAAACGGGCACTTCCGTGCCCGTTTGTTCGCTTTTTATGAGTGTTTGTGTACATATCTCTATAATACGAATATCATCTCTATAATACGAATATCAGCTAGATACAATTATTATAATTAAAAATAAGACGGTAAATATACAATTTTAATATGTTCTTCTATTTTAATATGTTCTTCTATTTTAATAAAATTCCTCAATTATCTCTTAATTAAATGGAAGTTTTATGTATATTAAAATTACTTTAGCAAAATAAATAAAATCAAAATAACCTATCTAATTAGAAAGGATAAACAAAATAAATGGTATTATTGAGAAAATAAAACTAACAAATATTATGTTACCGTTGAATAAAGCAAGTGATCATGAAAAAAAAATGCCAACACCATTTATTGAGCATCTCGATAAAAAAAACTCAACCATTCTTGAATCCTTAACCTGGTAGATTACTAAACATATGGTAGCAACATTTTGGTCCATAGCCTCCAAAAATATCATAATTTAACTTTTAACATAAAGTTAAATATCATAATTTAACTTTTGGTGCAATACTGAAAAATAAAGGCTAGCATAGGACAGAGCCTTTTCTACCTAAGCCATGTATGAAACTAATTCACCTATGAACAATGAGTCGATGACAAGTATGAATATCCATGAAATATATAGAATGATTCAAAATTGAAAATGAAAGAATGCCATGAAATGGTTTTGAATAATTTGTCTTCATGCAACACCGAAATTAGAGATTGTAGAAGTTGCTTCTATGCAAAACTTACGATGATGACGATCATATATATTTCTCAGGAAGACACAATTATTGTCAATAGAGAGAACTATGCAAACTGTTATCAAGCATGAACCACAACGAACTTGAGATGGAGAGCAATGGTATGTCTTGGTCTGCAAGATCTTTGAGCTTCAGGTAGTCTTTCCACTGTTCAATATAAAATACAGTGTATTACTATTATGCCAACAAAAGTTAAGAAAAAATGAAGACATGAGTCATACTTGCCTGCAACAAACATGTCATTTCTAATGCTGGTTAATCAAGTCAATCCTCACAAATGGGATGTGACTAATTGTATGCCAACGCTCTCCTCCATCCACTTTGTACTTCTCCTCAAGTAATGGACAACGGTCAATGATCAAAGCATTTAGGCAGTTGGGTAGACCCTCCTCCGGCAAGGTCTCAAGACTAGGGCAGTTGTGAACACTTATACAACGGAGAGATTTGAGATGGAGAAGTCCCTTGTAGTTCACTATTCTTAGTTTGGAACATTCATGTAAGAGAAGAATATTCAAATTTGGTGGGAGTAGATTCTCCTCGGGGAAGGACTCCACGTTTTCAAAATCATCACTAACAAAAAATCGGTATAGAGAGTTGAGTTGGAACAAGCCCCATTCCTCTCTGGAAGCAATCAGTTTTGGGCAATTACATATTTCAAGGTTGCTCAAGTTGGAAGGCAAACCTCCCATAGGAAAAGATTCAAGCTCTGGACAATCATACAACACTAGAGAAGCAAGATTGGTGAACAAGTGTAATGAAAAAGGCAATGAGAAGGACTGCCATCCTGTTATTGTAAGAGTATCAAGAGAATTATGACAACACAAATCTAAAGATGGACATTCTACAAAGTCCTTGAAATCCAACTTCAACACTTTCAGAATGGAATTGTTGATTAAATGAACCATAGGGAACTCAACGTACTGGTTTTTGTCAAGGATGAACCTTTTCAAGCTGGATGACAACTCATTTATCAAAATTTTATTACAATTGTGTAGATATAACTCTATGATATTCTCACAGTTGGGAATTGATACGTCCAGCATTTCACAGCCAATAATCATCAATTTCTGTAATGAAGGAAGATGTTGAGGCAGTGCCCTTTTCAATTTGGGACAATATCTTATAGAAAGCTCTTTAAGTCGAGGAAACCCTTCGATACATAACCATTCCTCCCATTCAGACATGCGGTAAAAATCCAAAACTTCAAGGAACTTGAACGGAACATTTGTTGAGTTATTGCCTAAGATCTTTATTCCTTCACAGTTATGCAGTTTAAGAGATATTAAGTTGGGTAAATCACAATCCCTTAGCCAAATTGGAAACATATTGCCATTGTAGTTCTTAATGGTGAGCCTTTTCAGATTGTTATTTGGTTGAAGGGCTTTCAAGACAGACTCATTGTTTTCCACTGTTGAACCATCCATTTCTTCTCCTCCTAAATCGAATGTCATACGTATTTTTTCTAAAGACTTCTTATCTTGCAAACGGGCCTTTACAGCATGTGCTGGATTGCTCACATTGTTCAGTCCTGAAAGATGGAGTTTTCCTTGAAGAAGATTGAGACTATCTAACTCCTCAATATCAGACCCACTTGGCTCACCCACAACAAAGTTAGTCAGGGTTTGTAGATTGTTTAGTTTCCTTACGTTCTTTGGCATCTTCTTTATTGGAGTTTTTTCTAGATTAATATGGCGTAATCGTTCAAGTTTGTAAAAATCTACAGGAAGTTCAGCCAAACTACAACAACTTCTCAATATCAGTGTCTCTAAATTGTAAAGCTTACAAATAGAATCGGGCAACCTTTTAATACTTGTCCAAGATAGGTCTAGATAGCGCAAAAGCTTTAAATTTCCTATCCCATCTTCTAGCTCTTTGAGTTCATAAGTATAACCATTGAATGACAACATCCGCAAATATTTTAGTTTTGAAAACAGATCACATTGCACAATGTTGCTTATCCTGAAGCATTCCCCATAGTCTCGTGGCGGTTCTACCAACAAGCTGTGTAATCCCTTAATTCTACAAATGTGACTTAATTTTATTTCACCATCATTCAAATCAAGAGAGCACCAAATGTGGCGTGTCCTTTCAGATATATCTTGCACCTTATCACCCTCCACTTGTAAGCAAAACTCTTGAGACTCTGATTTTGCCAAGTCATTGACAAGATCATGCATGACAAAACAACCATCAAAATGAAAATTTCGTGATCTTTGAAAAAACGAAATTGACTCAAGATCATTGAATAATTCACTACCCAGTTCTTCTTTACTTTTGTCACTTTTGTAGGAATTCAGCAAACCATTTGCCATCCAAAGTTTGATTAACTTGTTCTTATCAAACTCATAGCCCTTAGGAAATATGGAACAATATGCAAAACAACATTTCAAATTTGAAGGAAGATTATGGTAACTCAGTCTCAATACTGGATTTATGTCGCAATCTCTCTCTGATAAACACCACATATCAGTCTTCAATATTTGATCCCATTCACTTCGAGAGAATTTTCTTCTCAAGAGGCTCCCCATTGTTTTTACAGCTAATGGCAACCCTCCACATTTGTCTACAATCATCTTTCCAATTGATTCAAGATCTGGATATTCATTCACGTTTCTGTCGTGAAAAGCATGTCTCATAAATAAACTCCAACAATCACTCTCCTCCAATTGTTTTAATTCAAGTAACTTGGCAGATCCAATGGCCAATGCATCATCCTTATTTCGTGTTGTCACAACTATCTTACTCTCGGAAGATCCTTTGTAAAAGGGAATTAGTAGTTGCTCCCAAAATTTCTCATTTGCGTTCCAAATATCATCTAGAACAAGCAGATATTTCTTGTCCATAACCTTCCGTTGCAATTGACGTTGAAGTATTTCTAGGTTTTCACTATTTGGTGAAGAATCAAATGACTCGAGAATTGCTTTAGTGAGTCGAATAACATCAAATGATTCTGAAACATAGACCCAAGCCTTAAGCTCAAAGCTCTTTTGAACCTTTTGGTCATTGTAGACAAGCTGAGCAAGGGTGGTTTTACCCATCCCACCAAGACCCACTATGCTGATTATTGGTGCTTGGTTGCTACTACTACCATTGTCACAAAGTAAGAAATTGATAATTTCGTCTTTTTCACCCTGTCTACCACATATTCTAGATTCATCCACCAAAGACGTCGTTGGCACTCTTTTTGAAGATTCTGGACCGACTTCAAGTTCATTGCGAGCATGTGTTCCTTCTTTCAATCCCAACACATCATTTTGCTTTAAAAGATATTCTAACTTATCTAGCAAGTCTTTTATCCTAGATTCAAACTGATTAGTCAGAGATGAAAACAAGTGTTTAACCTTACTCTTTCGTTGTGCACTTGTAGCAATCTCATCCAACAACTGATCTACTTCATATACCTCGTGTTTTATATGATCAAGCCAAATCTTCACATTTCGGTTCTGATACTGCTTTCTCTCTGCATCATCCAACACTTGATTGATAGAATTCAATGTGATTTGAAGTTTATTCACCAATCGTTTGCTGAAGATGTCTTTGTAATCTCCTGAGGCAACCCTCTCCACAATGACTTGAATGACAGGTGTAAGAAATGCTCCTGCAACCATCAGCCCTGCCATGGCTACCTGTAAGATGGTAAAATGTTATATTCTGCTAAACATAATGAAACAGTGTGTAGAATTATCAATGTCAAACACTTAAAACATACATTTTACATAAAATGTAAAGTTCTAAACATATATTAAAAATAATGGACTGTATGATTAATGACACATTATGCTGTTATGATAAAAACAAGACTAATTATTTTCTAATTTAGTAAAAGAAACATCAAGTATAATTAATAAATAAAAATACTAACAAATAATATTAAAATATTAAAACGAGTTAGTGCTAAATTTAGGAGCAAAATGGAAAACTAATAAACTAAAAATATTAAGAACAATAAATATCTGATATATATTTTCTTTGGCTGTTTTTTTTTTATTCTCTGTTGACAACTATATGATAAAAATGTGTTATTTTTTATCTATTAATTTGTTGTCGACCTACCATTTTTGTCTCCTATAAAAAAGAAATTTGAATTTATTATCCTGAAAAATAAAAGTAAGACTTCTAAGCCTAACATCTATATTATAAATGAAAATATATATAAAAAAAACTATCATTTTAATAAAAAGGAAAATTTAATTATTTTTTTTGTTAAATATTATACGGTTAAGAAAACTTATTTGATTAATTTCAGAAAAAAATGAAATTTTTATTGTTAATCAGTTAATTTTTGATAAATACACTAGAAATTTTTACACAAATAATCAATTTTTACAAATAAATACCCCAACTAGGTCATTTTTTCACATATTTTTCAAACTAACTCACTTTCAACAAAAAAAAATCAAAACAAAAACGTCAATCCAATTAACGATGGTTGAGTTTGTAACTCCTTGTGTCGAAGCAGTATAGCTCGACAGAAACAAGATCTAGTCGAATTAGCCTAATGTATGTCTGTCGAATTAGCCTAATGTATGTCTGTCGAATTGTATTAATGTGTCGAAGTGTCAAAACAGGTTGCTTCACACAGGATTTCGACTTAGACCTATTTTAGTAATGTTAACTATTTTTGTCTTTTATAGTTTTAACTTTCATTTGGGGTGCAAGCTAACCTAAATCTATGAATAAAGAGTAACCCTTATTTTGTAAACAACTCAGAATTGTATTCACAGATTTGCAGTTGCAAGTGAATAAAGATTTTTCACCGTTTGTGGGCCGAGAGAACTCTGCAGAATTTTCATCTTCTTCTCCAACGTTATTCTTTTCTATCTTTCTTAATTTTTTCATTGTCATTGCGTGATTGATAATAATCTTGTTCATTAAGATTGAGTGAAATTTTTCATAGGTTGTGGTTGAATTCCAACAGCGACAGTGTACAAATACAGAGGAGATACAGAGGAGTGTTCTCTCTCCTCTATGTTTGTACACTGTCAATTGGGTTGGCACCTCTTTTGTGTTGAATTTTTTCAAAAAGTGCGTTAATTTGGGGAATATGTGAAAAAGTGAATTAGTTTGGGTATTTATTTGAAAAAGTTGATTATTTGAGTAAAAATTTTAATACAAAATGAACAAAAGAATAGGAAAAGCTTAAATACAGACAAATATCACCAAAACAAATATCCAAGAAGTAAAACTAACCAACTAAATACTCCATTGCCCAACCAATCATATTTAATTTAATTTATTTTAAATTAGTTTTTGAATATTTAAATTTATACTACCTCTGATGCTTTTACAAGAGATGCTTCACTTTTTTAGATTCATTAAATAATTAGTGTATTTGGTCTATAATACACACCAGGTTAATTAATTATTTGGTTCGATCCAGGGATAAGTGTTCTTAGTATGCTCTGTGGTTGCAGTTTTATCTGATCTTCCACATCAAAAAATAAAGGCAATGTTGTGAAAGAGTTGTTGAGTTGCGGTCACAAATTCCGCTGTGCAGTTTGAGCTAGAGAAAATTGATGGAAGAAGTCAAAGATGTGTTGATACAATCAAGATTACACAAGGTGCAAGATTATGTCGGTGGTTGAAGAGATTTTTACCAACAAGGAAGTTGCACCATAATGTTTCAACCTGATTTTCGACATGTGAAAATTCTTGGAGTGGTTTAACTTCAAGTGAAATTTATTCTTCATGATAAAGTATATGATTGTCGATGATGGCAATTTGAAATTCTTGAAGTGATTTATATTCAAGTGAAATATATTTTTCATGAGAGGGTATGATAGTTTTTAAAACTAAGATTGTCGGAGAAGACAATTTGAAAATTCTTGGTGTAGTGTACCTTCAAGTGACTATACTCTTTACGGTGGAGTATGATTGTCGATGAAGACAATGAAAGTTTATGTATTATTTCCAATCAAGATAGAGATTGTTGGGGTTGGTTGAAAATATACATGTTGATACTATTTATGATAGAGTATGATTGTCGGTGAAAACAATGAAAGCTTATGTATTATTTTCAATCAAGGTGGAGATTGTTGGGGTTGATTGAAAATATACATGTTGAAGAAGTCCAACATTACTCAGTTTTGTGAATGAAGAGGAGTCAAAGGCTATATATAAGATACAAGTTTTTTGAAGTCTCACGCCACTTAGCTTTGTGAAGGAAAAGGGAGTCCAAGGTTATATATGATTCGAGTTTTTTATTTTAAGATGTACCAGTTAAAAGCACTTTAAGTTTGTATTTGACTTTCTTTGTTCTCTTATACTCTTGTTTTAGAGTATTGTGAGATGTAGTTAAATATTTATTTTGGAGGGTGAATGTACTTGGAAATTTCACATAGTGTTAATCTCTAGTTATCTATTCACAACGACAATGGTTTTTCTTCAATTTTAGAGTTTGCACGTTATGTTCTTGTGTTGTGATTGTGTTACAATTTTTTAATATAGTATAATGAGACAAAAGTAATTCTCAACACATAAATAAAATAGACGAAAGAAAAAATAAATTGAAATTTCTCATGAAAGAGAACCTAAGAGTGAAAATAAAAATTAGAAAAATTATGTTAATTCTATAAAAAAACTGAAAATTAAAAAATAAAAATCAATTAATTTAAAATTAAATATGATTGTTGTTAGCAGGCCCACACGAATTAAAGCCCAACCAAAATGGATGCAAGATTATGAGATGCAGTAGTTTGTTTTATTATTTTTAATTCTGTATTTTTATCTTTTGGGTCTAGTTGTTAGTAACCCAATTAGATTCTTGTTGTATTTAAAACCTTGGTTACCCTTTTGAAAAGGGCAGAAAATTATTAAGACAATTGTTATGTTTTTATCTTTCTTCTAGTTTTATGATGTCTTATAGAAAACCCTAGATCTAAAAATTATTGTTGAAAATTTTTCTTCTATCAATTGGTGCTTTCATTTCCTTGAATTCATGACTCCTCCACCCAAACCCCCAAACCCTACCCTAGAGATATCATAGAAGAAGTTGTCCAAACAGCCCATATTCATCTCGATAATGCAATGAACCAAACACAACAAATGGATGAGAGGTTTGACAAAACTTCTGCAGATTTGGAGCTCATACAAACCCGTATGGACAATGAGAAGAAAATTTCAGATTCTCGGTATGACAGTATCATGGGATTGCTTAACAAATTGGTGCTTCAACAGAAACAACAACCTGCCACCACTGCACAAACAACAACGGCTTCCTCGTCAGGTATTACTCATATACCACATTCAGCTCCTATACCTACAACTCATACCAGCCCCATTATTACTCACTCAACCTCTCTTCATCTTTCCCCTAATTTACAACCCCCTTACACCCACTCGGGTTCTTTTTCTAACAACCTTCATCTCCCTACAATAACCACTGCATCCTTACGCCTAACACCATCCCAAATTCTCCGATTTTTCACCTTATCTCACTCAGCCCAGCACCTTACCTTTTCCCTAGAACTATAATTTGCCTATGTTCCAACCCATGTCCTTTCCCCCACTTCAACCAACTACACCTCTTCCCCCTTTTCGTACACCTAAACTGGAACTCCCTATGTTTGATGGCTCCAACCCTTTGGAATGGTTATTTTAGGCTGATCAATTTTTCAAATTTTACCAATTATCTTCTGACAGCAGACTGTCTATGATGTCATTTTATATGAAAGGTGAAGCGTTATGTTGGTTCAAATGGATGCATCAAAGTCAGCTTTTAATAGATGGGTCATCTTTCACTAAAGCGTTGGAACTGCGCTTTGGCCCATCCATTTATGCTAATCATCAGTTGGCAACGGAGATACAAAACGAGATCACTATTCATAAACCTGTTTCGATTTCGCAGGCGATTGGATTAGCTAAGTTGATTGAATCCAAATCAAAGGATTCAAAACCCAAATATAAAAAAAAAACCTTTTATCCTTCTAACAAACCTACTTCCGCTTCATCAGTCATAACCCCGACCAGCTCAATCCACAAAAACCTACCCCTCTCCCAACCATCTAAACTTCCCACCCGACGCCTTTCCAACACTCAACTTCAGGAGCGCCGCGCTCAAGGCCTCTGTTTTAACTGTGATGAAAAGTTTATAGCGGACCATAAATGTTCAACCGAAAAGTTCCTATTGCTAATGGAGGATGAGGACGATCTTACCACTCAAGAGACTTTAGACACTAACAATACCCCTGCCCCAACGGTGGAACCTGAAAACACTTACTTCCAACTTTCTCCCCAAGCCGTCAGCGGCCATTTTTCTCCCAAAACCCTTAAGTTTAAAGGTTTACTCTATGGCATCACGGTTACAGTTCTGATTGACACGGGCAGTACCCACAATATCCTACAACCTCGCATCGCCCAACACTTAAAACTCCCAACTAAACTTATCCCAAATTTTTCTGTGATGGTTGGAAATGGTTCCAAACTATCATGCTCGGGCCTCTGTTCCCAAGTCCCTATTGAAGGCGCTGACGTTGTCCTTGGCATGGAATGGCTAAAAACACTTGGCCCCCTTCTCGCTGATTTTTCGTACCCAAGATCTCCTTCAATTATAACAACAATGAGATTTCCATCACAGGTGACCCAAAAACTTTTCCTACTCACTCTTCTTACCAACAACTTT